TGTTTCTGCATTGCTTTGTAAACAGCAGTTACCTGAGGCGTACACACTTCTGCTAGGATTGCTACAGCTTTTCTTTTGGACAGCAGCAGATGCCGCTGTCCTCCTCAGCAGCAGGGTGTTCTTCAGTCCTGTTGTGGCACTGGTTTACTTTGCTTGTGGTCAGTGGCCACTGGCACCCAGAGAGTGGAAGAAGCAAAGCTGTGACTGGTTAGCTAAGAGCTCCAGTCCTGACCCCAGAGCCTTGTTCTCCCTGTTCCTTTAACACGTGGGAGAAAGGTGCAAAGCAGATCTGCAACTGTACTGTATCTCTTCAGCCATCAGCCTCTCTGTGATTTCTCACTGCTTCCCAACCTCTTGTCTCCTAGTGCACTCCTGTCCCATTACACTCCCTACCCATGCAAGGCAGCTTTTCCTTCTAAGGCAAAATGTGGCTGCTCTTGTTAGCTGTGCTCACAGAGGCTTCTTTTCCTTTGTCGAAGTCACAGACTTGCAGTGATAGTGCTCAACCACAGCACGGCACTTTGGTATGGGTCTCCCCACAGAGAAACTGCAGTGCCTTGGGTTTTCCTTGGGTCTGCATTTCTAGCTATTTTCTTGGAGCTGCATTTCTAGCTATCTAGGAACAAAGATGTTTTTGCTGTTGCTGCAAAACATCATTAGGATCTCAAACATGCTGCTAATAACTCCCTGGTGATAGTTTAAACCTCCATTTCATTGACTGGAACATTTTTTAATAAAGCTGTGGTTATCTCTTGGGTTCTGTGAACATCTCTGTTGCTATCCTGATATCAAGATTTAGGTAAGATGAGCAGCACAGGTGTGGCTGAGTTTTCATGTCACATCATTTTTTGATGAGATTTGTTTTCCTTTATTTAGAGAGAGATCATCATAGTTTCTGCAGCCCCTCAGCTTGTACCTTCAGAGAGCTAAGAAGAATTTTCAGGCCCTGTTTGATTTCCTCCACCCAGATGACTGTGGCAGGGACCACAGCCAAGCCAGTGTGCTCAGGCATTGGAGGTACTAGGAACCTCCAGCCTGCAGACCCTCCTTTCCAGAGGAGCTCTCTCACTGCCCCTTCTCTCTGTGTTTTGGCAGATGGTAAATTTGGCTATTTCCACAGCTGGGAACCTATGGATTGAAAAGTCGTGATTTAAGTCCCACCTCTCTTTCTTCCCTTCAGCAAAAGACCAACTTTAACATAATGAGGCTTTTCAAAACCATGGATTGCTTTCTTTCTGCTATCTGATCATGCAAACTTTTCTCTAAATTCAAAAAATTAAAGAATTCATGAAGTTGAAGTTGAAATTCTCTCATAATCCAGAATTCAGCATCTACAGCAAAATGAAAGCAAACTAATGCTCAAAAGTGCAAACAACATGAAATAAGAGCCTAAGCTGACAGACCTGCTGTCTACTTGCCAGTCCAAAAATACTGACCATCAAGTTCAGTGGTGACCTCTCTTGAACTGATGCTGTGACAGGAAGTGGACCTAGACAGTTTAGGAATTCCTCCAGAGTTTTGTTGTTAAATTTAGACACTTCACTACTTCACTAGTTTTCCTTTGGCTGTTTGGACTTTGTGATCTGGCTGATGGGCAGACATAGAGCAGTGAAGACAGACAGATTACCTCTAGCCTACAGGAGGTACAGTCTCCCAACAAAAGGGAGTGTGAGTCCTTTGATGTAGCTCCTTTGTAATCAGAAGGATTTTAAACAGCTGATACTCCTTGAGCTCAAGTGCTCCACATTTGCATCTGGTATAAAGCCCAAGGATCTACTATAGAATGGATCCTTCTGTCCTGTAGCCCTTGGTGTACGTGGGGTAGGGATGTGAGCCGTGCTTGACATGGGATATGATGGGAAGGTTCCCTCCTTAGGCTCAGAGCCAGTTTCCTAAAGTTGATGCTGGGGATAACATTTTGGCAAAATCCTTGGTTTTCCCCATCATTGGCCTTATGAAAACCACCCTTTCCTGAACTGTTATTGCATTTCTTCTCAATTGGTCTCCAAAACAATGACCCATAGATTTGGGTCTCTCCATTTTAACCTGTTCCAATGTTTATGCTGGTGGAAATCAGGAACTATGCCAGCACAAGTTCAGGCAGCGGCTAATGAATATCAGAGATTTTCTTGTTCTAGCCCCACTTCCTCACAGAGTGCTTGTTACTTTCCACTGCTGTTTCTGACACATAGACATCTGACACATAGATCCTACCCTTGCAGAGTGGATGTCACCAAATCACAGAATATTCAAGCTGGAAAGGACCCGCAAGACCGGCTCTTAAGTGAATGGCCTGTACAGGGACTGAGCTCTCAACCCTGGCAATTTTAGCACCAGGCTCTAACAAAGATAATCTCAAGGGAGCAGAGGTGTGGATCCCAGTGTGCTGCCCCAGCCATGGATCCAGCCCCCGAGCTGCAGGGACCCGCAAGTAAAAATGCTTTTGGGTCTCCCCTTTGCTTTCCTGCTGTCAGTGCTGGCGGGGGAGGCAGGAGCCTTCCCAGAGGAGGAGAAGCTTCAGGCAAAGAGCTGACATCATTCAGCACTAAGGTGGCCTAACTTTGAACTGATGACTTAGCCCTGAAAGACCAGGTCTGGTAATTGCTGATCTCGATAATAACCGTGTGAATGCTGTTATCCAGTCCCTTGCACTTTCCAGCCATTGTGCAGCAGCACTGCCTCATTTATTGGCTTGGCCATACCTGCTCTTTTCCTAGGAGCCAAAGCAAAATAGCCTCTGATCTTGCTGCCCATTCCCTTGCCTAGCTGGGCACGAAATCATAGGTCTGCATTGCTGCCAGGAGCATCCAGCTTCCTTTCATGGGCTTATTCCAGCTACTGTTTCGCCAACTGAAAGCCTTCCAAATTCAGCATCCCAGCCTACTTACCAGGTTTCCCAAAGCCACGTAAACTTTTCTGTCTGCATCTCTGCGGCCCTGGAATGGTTTTCATAAGCAGAGGTTCTTCTGCTTTTTTTCATCTCAAACCAGTTCCCTTGCAATTAACAGGAGCTGCTCTCTCTCTCTAACCAGGAGACTGGGCTTGAAACCAGGGACTGAAGTGCTTTCCCTGGGAAGTAAAATCCATAATTGCACAGCTGTTAAAAATCATGGGCAAAACCTTGGTTTCTTGGCATAATTTTAGTATTTTGCTGATGACTTCCAGTTTTATTAGTTCATCCAATAAAAAGGATTACCTCTACTCACTTCCCATACCTCTCTTACATAAGAAGTGTGAATCATCAGGATCTCAAAAGCAAAGGATGACCATTGAGAGCCCCATTATTTAACTGGAACCTCTGGCTTCAGCAGGAGCTGGATAGGGGATGGCTGTTCCCTGAAGCATCCTCATGCTGGATCCAATGCAGCAACACTTCCACTTGCTCCCATTAGCTGGATGTGACAGGGTTAACAAGCTTTTGTAATGTCAAGGATTTTTATTTTCAGTCTACACTAGACAGAACTGGGGCAAAGCCCCCTGTGGATATTGTTACAGCTGGAGACAAGTGTTTTGAGTCTACTGGTTTTTATTTTTCTCATTTTTCAAGAAAAATGATGGTGGCATCCAGCACAGGACCTGCTGGATGGTGCAGGGAGGGGTCTCTTTGGTGCAGACCTGTTCTTCAGGGACTAATGGAGAGCCACCCTGCTCTTCTTGTTTCATCTGGGCAACACTCCGGTTGGTCCCAGATTGGAAATCTGAGGTTAGGAATTGCTGTCAGACTCCACACCACAGCAATCTGTTTCATGGGCAGCAGTAAAGGGAACATTTTGGTTTTTTCTCCAGCTTGGCAGCACATGAATCAAAGCAAAGGCAGGCAAGCATATCAGTAGCCAAGCAAAACTGGGAGGTACTGAGTTACCTACCAAAAGTACTTTGGAATTTCAAGTCAAGGAAATATGTATGTATATGTAGATGTCTGGCATCTCTTGGGCTCCATCCATCCCATTTGGGGATAGTCCAGGCAGGAGAACAGTAAATCCCCAAAATATGTATTTTCCAGTTTAAATTTGAGTGAGGGTTGGGGGACATGATAAAGAGCAACAAAAATCAAACTGTTCCTCCTATGCTTCAAAGCTTGGACTGCAAGAGAGCTCTCTGTTCAGGTGGTAAGGACATCAGGGCAGGATTTTCCTTATTCAGCAGAAGTGTAAGGCAGGGTAACACCGTGGTTGCCAAACTAGCTCAATGGCAACTCTTTTTCCAGTCACATCCCAGGTTATCTTGGACCTTTTATGCTCCTACAACTACAGAGGTTCACATTGTGCTGGGTGGCATCTTGTCTTAAATTATCAGAAAAGTTTTAAGGTTAATGGCTGATGTCTGGAGCACTTTGTTCTCCAAAATGCCCATCCCTCCTCTCCTCCCTCTACATGAATTTCCTCTACTTGTTCAAACTGTTGCTGTTCCTGCTCTGGGAAGGACTTACCTGCTTGTGCTGCAGCTGCTGAACAACCACAGCATCCAAAAAAAACAGGCAGTAGTATTGGTTTAGGCTGCAGAGCTGCTCAGCACAGCCCAGCTGGTCCGAGAAGTCAGGCTGGGAACCTGCAAAGGGGCCTCGGGGAGAATGGCTTTGTGGAACATCTGATCCCAAGTCCCACTGGAGATCCCATGGAGAAGCAATGGTAGCAGGACGGCTCTACCAAAGCCACAGCGGGACTGCTTTTTAGAGGGGTGAGAGCCACCCTACACTCTGAGGGTGTAGGGGTGCTCAGTCCCCCCCAGCCGCTCCCTCTGCCTCTGCTGGTGCCGGCACATCCCTTACGGGCATCCCTTACGGGCATCCCTTACGGGCATCCCTGCTGCGGGGACCGGCGGCCGCTCTCTGCTCCCTCGCCCAAGCGCTGTTTCGCACCTCGCGGTGCTGTTGCCATCGCTGACACGCGAGATCAAACTCGTGGCGTTGTGCTAAAAGGCAGAGGAAATCGTTCCAGCTAGACTGCCTGCCTTTCCTTATGTTTAGCTTAGCAGACTGACGGTACATTCATTCCCTTTTTTTTTTTTTTTTGGATAGGGTTTTTTTTTTGTTTTGCTTCTTTTTAAGAAAAACAAGCGGTGTGCTCAGCTGCAACCCCTGTGGGAGGTGTTCAGCCTTGGCCGGAGCCGCCCGAGCGCCCCCGGGGCCGGGAGGCTGCGCTGGCCCGGGCTCAGGCTCAGGCTTTCTGGGACAGCCATTCCTGACTCCAGCCGGTGTCCGGGCGGCTGTGGAGGGCAGAGCCGCGGCAGCTCCGCTCGGACCCTTCGGCAGCGGCATGGCGCTCCGCGGAGCCTGCCTCCTCCTCTGCCTCCTCTCCCTCGCCCAGGTCGCCGACCAGCAGAACGGCAAAGCCCGGCAAAAACCGGCCGCTTCCAAGAAAGGTAAGGGGCAGCGGCAGCTTCCTTGCAAGGGAAGACTTGCAGGGCTTGGGGGGGTTGCTATCAGCCCACTCGTCTGGGTATTTAACAGTGCCTTAGTGAAACTTCACTAAAAAACATCGAAAAACCTAATAAAGCGTCTTCCTCTTCCCCTCCTCCGTGGGAATGATTGTGCATCTCTTCTGTAAAATTGTGAGGGTATTGAAACGGTTTTGGTGGGTTCCTACCTTGAATAAATTTGTTGGGACAGCTTAGTCTGAATTTCAGAGGAAATGCCTTTTCCGTGTTCCCTCTAAGGTTCATCCCAACCTTTTCCTCTAATAAACTCTCCCTTTCTAAAAATCCCCTCATCCTTTCTCATTCATTTTTCAGAAGCAAGTAAGTGGCAGATGACAGACAATTTTGGAGATAAGAGCAGGCAGAAAATACCCAAGCCATTAAGCATCAACAGGGTTCTTCATTTAAAAACCGCTGGCCTCGGGTGTATATCACACCGGACACAAGCTCTGACTATTCAGGCTTGCCAGACAGCCGTGCACACACGAAGCTGCCTGGGTTTTCTATTCCCTAGTGGGTTTGTTTCTCCTTTGCTTCTCCTGTTTTTCTCCTGTCCCATCCTTAACTCAGTGCACATTAAGTACAGAAGAAGGCAGGTGAGGTGAAGAAGCAGCAAGTGAACTTGCCTGCCTGCCTGATGTGTCCGACCGCAGCCGCGCGGGCTTGGACCACTCCTGGCAGGCGCTTTCCTGCTTGGAATGAAGTGGGGAGCAAGGAAGAAGCATCCCTGGAATTCACTTTGGCCAGTCTGCTGTCTACACTCACCCAGTAGCTATTTTTGTCAGATTCCATCCTTGAGAAATTTCTGCCTTTTCTCCCATTAGATCTTTCTATGAACTCACAAACTTAGCTGCTTATTCCACATCTTATTCTGCAAGACACGGAATAACAGAAAAAACAGTCTGACTGTTTTCCAAAGCAAAAAATACCCCCTTAGGCTCATATAGGGAGGTATTAGGAGAGAGACATTTCTTAAAGAAATCCTATTTTTCTCTAGGTGTCATTGCAACTGCTTTTGTAATCAATTAGTGACAAGAAGGTGGGAGAAAAATCACCTCTTTGACAGGAAAATTTGGCTCTGATTTAAAAACTTTTGAGGGGGGTGTCCTGAAAATCAAGCCATTTAGGCCAGCTGGTGGCAGGTTTTAGTCATTATTTCTTTTCAAATGAGAGGTCATATTTTTTGTGGAGAAAAGGTAAAAACCCAGCAACTTGGCATTTTTTGATCAGTCCCATCTAGCCCCATAGGGGATCAGCTGCCCTGCCTTTATTGGAAACTTTCAGTATTTATTGGCTAATATTTTTCAGATTTTTACCAATGCCAGAGGGTAGGAAAAGAGGGAGAAAAATGCTAAAAATCCCCTGTGAAATTCCTCTTTGCACATCCCAGCCACCACAGGGGCCAGGGCTCAGACACATCTGCTCTGAACAATGGCAGGATGGCCTCATCTCATCCTCATCCAGGCATCTATCCTTGAACTTTGCCTGGGAGGGTCAGGAAGAACAAAGCCACTGGAGGATTGGGGTGTTTGGCTGGATTTTTTTTTTTTTTTAATCTATGCAACCAAACCACAAACACTAGAAAAGAAAGCACTGGTTTAAGCCAAGCTTTTTATGTTGTTTTTATTTTTTTT